TGATGATGGCCACCGGCTCGAAGCCCATCACCTTGCCCACGGCGAGGTCGTTGACGTCCATCGACACCGACGTGACGACGCCCGACAGCGAACTCTGCGCGCCGAAACGCATCAGCCGGCGCCAGGCATTCAGGTTGGGCCGCAGCCGCGCGCCATCGGGCCGGGCGATCCAGGCGCCGGCGCAGTTCACGACGTTCGTCGTGAGCGCCCCCAGCGCCAGGGCCATGACCCCGCCGCCGGCCAAGGCCAGGCCCACGCTGACGAGGGCACCGATGCCGGCGCTGGACAGGCCGATGATCGCCAGCGAGCGGAAGGCCATCTCCCGGCGCAGCAGGGCCATCGTGACCGTCGAGAACGGCAGCAGCAGGAAGTTGAAGGCGCACACCCACAGCGTGTCGCGCACGGTGGGCTCGCGGTAGAAGTCGGCCACCCAGGGGGCGGCCACCACGACGATCAGGAACAGCGCTGTGCCGAGGATCAGCGAAAGGCCGAAGGCAGTGCGCAGGGAGTCTTCCTGCAGATCCTTCTCCTGGATGAGGTAGTTCATGACGCCGAAGTCGCGCAGGACCTGCGCAACGCCGATGACGGACAGGCTCACCGAGAAAATGCCGACCTGCTCCGGCGAAAGCAGCCGTGCCAGGATGACGTTGCTGCCCAGCGCAATGATGATGCCGAGCCAGCGCTCGATGAACGAGAACGCCAGCGCCCGGCGGACCCCCTTGTCGGACGCACTCACCGACCCACCACCCTGTCCAGCACCGCTGCCATCTGCCGGGCGGTGGCCGCGCGCGTGTAAGCAGCCAGGCGTTCCGGACGTTGCGACGTGAAGCCCGACAGCCCGCGACCCGCGCACAGGTCAGCCAGCACGCCGGCGGCCGATTCGAGGTCGTCGGGCATGATCTGCCGGCCGCCGCCGACGTCTGCGATGACACGGGCGACCTCGCTGTTGGGCAGCGTCGCGGCGAGGATTGGCCGTCCACTGCCCAGGTACTCAAACAGCTTGCCCGGCAGCGCCGCGAGGGCATAGAAGCCCTCTGAGACGGGCAGAAAGACGAGGTCGGACTCGGCCATCATCTGAACAGCCACGCCATGCGACACACGGCCGTGTTCGGTCACGAGGTCGCTGACGCCGAACTTCTCCGCAGGCCCCGGGTTGAAGCCGGCGGTGTTCACGCGCAGCCGCTCCAGGCCCGGCGTACCGGCATCCTTGAGCTGGCGCAGCGCGCGGTACAGCAGGTCGGGGCCGTAGCCGGGGCGCCAGACGCCGGTGTAGCTGACGCGGACCAGGCCGTCACCCGGGGGCAGCGGCAGGCCGACGAAGTCCTTCGGTTCGAAGCCGTTGGTGATGCACTCGATGTCCGGGCGGCCGGTGTCCCTCTTCAGCGCCTCGCCCAGCGTGGGGGTGACGGTCACGATGGCCGCCGCGCTCGCCGCCGCGCTCTTTTCTAGGCGCGGGCTGATCCAGCGCTGAAGACGCGTCTCGGTGTCCCACGCGACCGTGCCGCTCGGACGCCACTGGTCTCGGTAGTCCAGCACATAAGGCAGGCCGGTCTGCCGAGCGATGTCGCGCGCGACAACGAGTGACGTCCACGGCGAGCCGGTCGCGAGGATAACGTCGAACGGGGTCTCGCGATGCGCCCTCACACCGGCTGCGACGGCTTCACGCCGCCAGGCTGCGGCGCCATCCGGCACGGCCCAGAAGTTGTCCAGCCGCCATTCCAGGCCGTCCTTGACGCGCTCGCGCATCGACGGGGGCGCCAGCCGACTCAAGCCGCGCGCCCAGCGTTCGCTGGTGTGGGACACACGCAGCAGGCGAGTGCCTAGACGGACCTCATCCAGCAGTCGGTCGTCCCGCTCGCGTGGCTTGGGCTCGGCCAGCGTCAGCACGGTCGGCGCCCAACCATGGTCGGGCAGGTGGTTGGCGAACTCCAGCGACCTGCGCGTCCCCGAGTTCGCGAACGGCGGGAACATGTAGGCAACGAAGAGGAACGAACGCATCACAGCAACGCCTGGGCAATGCGAACGGCCGCGCGGCCGTCGCCATAGGGTTGCGCCGGCGTGGCCGCGGGCCGC